GCAGGATGCCCTCTCTCTTCTATAGGGGTATGATAACTTCCAGTTTTTCATGCTTACTGAGAATGTGGTTAATGATTCTAAACCTGATTTTATTAACTTGTGAAATAGAGCTGATAGTATTATAGTTCTGAAAAGAGTTTTGTATTATTTGGGTATCAAAATAAAGTTTGAAAGAATTAGGATGTATTTGCAAATAACCTTTCACAAAAGACATTGATTCTGATTTTGTCATGGCTCTTCTGTCAGGTGCATCTCCTCTTCCAGCCCTATCATTTTGGGTGACAGTATCAGGGCACTGGTGGATGTATGCCGCTTTTTATCTTTGGGGAGCTGCTGTGATGGTGGTTGGTTACCTATGGTGTTTTCTACTGAATGTATGCATCTTGGTTTTCTTTCATTGGCTATGAATGGCTTGCTCACGAAATGCTTTGTGTTTGATGAGAATACCATAGGTGTTTGATAAATATAAATATTCAGAAATGTACAGCTAAATCACATGGCTGTTCTAGGTAGGTATTCTTTGTTAGAATCATCTATAGGAGAGCTCTGGCTGCTCAGGGTGTTTCTTTCCCCACCAAAACTACTAATAATGTAAATTGGTCATCATGGTATAACTTTTCAGGTATCTACTCTTCAGCCTGTGACATGTGGATCTACATGTCGCACACTTGGCAGTGTTACAGATTCCTTGGGCTTTCCATTGCAGAGGGTCATTACAGACTGCATGGACAGGCAAAGCGCTGACGTCTTTGGTTCTCCTTGGTGTAGGGCTGGTGTTTTCAAAGCTGTTCTTCCTCCTGCTGCAGCTTCTTTGGCTGCTTCCTCCAGAAGATCTCATGTTCTGACTCCTACGTGTTCTCTGACAGAATGCAAAGGACACTGAGATGCTTAACAGTATGGCTGAAGCAAGCTGAAGGTACTCTCTGCTTTCCCTTCATTTCCACTCAACCATCTATACAGCCTGGTATAGATGAATTAATTACTCTATAGACTAAAGAAGGGAGACATATGCAGAACAAGCGGTGAAGGCTCAAGAAATAACATTCTCCTAATTACTTCAATCATCATTATCACAGTTTCAACCACACCACGGGTTTTTAACCACCCACAACAGAACCAGGATTGGACGCAACTGAGCCCAGGCCATTCGAATCCAGGAGTATCACTTGAGACAACCACAAGGATGACTGGTAATGGGTTACACGTACTTAATCAAAGACTTTTTTTCCCTCAAAGTCTTTGATGCTGCAGAGGTCAATCATCAGGACACAGTGGGAAATTCAGTTAATATCTCATCACAAATTCTTAGTGAACTTTCATGAGGATACTCAGTTCAGCTTAGGAGTCACTTGTCAATTATATCATCTGGGCACAAGATATTTTATGCTGCTTCATTATAAAAATGAATACGAGGCTTCCCCGGTGGCGCAGTGGTTGAGAGTCCGCCTGCCGATGCAGGGGACGCAGGTTCGTGCCCCGGTCCGGGAAGATCCCACATGCCACGGAGCAGCTGGGCCCGTGAGCCATGGCCACTGAGCCTGCACGTCCGGAGCCTGTGCTCCGCAACGGGAGAGGCCACAACGGTGAGAGGCCCGCGTACCGCAAAAAAATAAATAAATAAAAATAAAAATGAACACATTAAAATGGTTTGTGGTGCTGCTCCTGATAAAGTGGTTGTAGTACAATAAGAGATAATCCTTAAGAAATTTCCATGCCCGTTGGTTTTCTCTTGGGAGATATTAGTGAATTCACTCAAAAGTATTAAGAGGAGATACTCAGAGGTGCTATTTAGGCATCGAACCATTAGACGGCATGTACTTTAATGAAAAAACAGAACAATCGAAAGTTGGTTGATAAAAAGTCACAGTGTATGTAACCATCATCACGACAGATGTGGACAGAAGTAGCACCAGTGCTTATGGAGAAAAATGGACCCAGGAAGCACGCTCTTCTCTCAGTCACCAGGGGTACCACGATGAAGAGGAGACCCAGCATCCTACAAGCACAAGTAAGAAGGATGGCAGTCATCAGTTCTGGTTTAGTTGAGTTAGTGAAGTCACTCCAGAGAATGGGGAAGACTTTTTTGCAGACATTGGCTACATCTTCTATTTCCACGCAGTAATTTCTTTTATCCCCAGAGCATGAAAAGCTGCCAAATCTGCACACAATTTCTTAGAAATTGGGATAAAATACTAACTTATCAGGTGGCCCAAGAGGCCAAAATGTTTAAAAAGTTAAAATGTTTAAAAATATCTGACATACTGTTTTTGTGTTAAAGTTTCCCAGAAGTTCCATTTGGGTAATTTGTGTGTTTTTATGGAAATGTATGACGAAGAGTGTGCTCTTTTGATGCTTAGTAGTGGGATCTGGAAAGGAAGCATGACAAGTGCAAGGATCTTTGGAATTCTTGTTTTCTATAAAGATCTTTGATGAATTCAGTTTCTTTTTCACATTCTGTTCCTTACTGCATTGTAGAAAGGCATCCCTTGTACTCTTTGGAAGAAAGTCAATCGCTCAGATGGTCTATATATGAATTCCTTGACTGTTCTTTTTTTGTTTTTAAGCCCAAGGTAACTTGGGGAAGGCTTTGACGCTGTTATTGTTACTTATGTGCAAACATCTCAGGTTTCCTAAAAGAATTTCAGGTCTCACTACTGGCCTATGAGGATAGGACAAAAAAATAAGTAAGAAGTGTATACTCTTCTTTTTTTTATCCATCTCTCAGAGAGATGCCTATGATGTTTGGAATAAAAGAAGCTTTAATTTAGGATAACGGCTTGTAGCATTTTAGAAATTATGGTTCAACCATGATTCTCATAGCCTTGAATACGCCTAAAGCAAAAATGTAAGAAACAATCACTTAGAAGCCAAAGGAGTTTGGGAATCCATGGTTTGAGGAGGTCTTCAGACAACAGAAGAAAAGTTTCAGACATCAGCTAGGACTGAATAGGTTACTACCTCCTGGGCATTGTACTGAATACACCCAACAGGGCTATATCTCATTATTGACCCCAACAGATTCGATATACACATGTGGATTATAGGCTGAGTTAACAAAAGAGTCTTCTGATAGAGGAAGGACGTAAGAAACAGAAGTCTCTTCAGAATGGGATTCTGTACCAGTCCCTTTGGGTCCTAGCAGTGTATTTTAGAAATTATTTAAGACGGTTAGTACTTAAAAAGTGGAAAACTAAGAGGCTTGGAATTAATGATCCTATTGTCAAAAGGTCGGGGGGAGGGCCATGATTACTGGAGGGTAGTTGAAAAACAGGACATAACAGAACCTAACAGAGGGAAAGCAGCAGCTGCTGCAGCAATTCTTTTATCAGGACTTGCAAAACATAAGTGATTCTGGTTGGTGATTCTGGGAGTTATCAAAAGAACATTTACAACTTCCAGAAGAGGGTCATTTGCAATGGAAATCCATTACTCTGCTAACCCATATATTGAAGACAACAAGGGGTTACTGGATATTTAAAGGATCATTGTGTTTTATAAAGAGACAGAAATAGTATAGAATAGTGTGTGTGCGTGTGTGTGTGTGTGTGTGTGTGTGTGTGTGTGTGCGCACACATTTTTTTTCCTTTCTTTTTTTTAAACTTTAAGTATGCAGTCTATGTTTTGGGTTAATTTTTCTTTTTTTGTAATTACACCCGGTGTTTTCTCTAACTTTATTATTTGTCAGGAGGTAGTGATTTAGTCTGGGGGAGGTAAAACTTAAGATTTTGGGGTTTTTTTCCCCTCCCTCTGGATAAGCAGTTAACCCCAGGGATGTTTTGGCCAATGCAAGGGTGAAACAAGGACAGTAAGTTTTATTTTTTTAATGTCTTCGCAATTATCAAATCATACACATTAATTTCTAAAATAATGAAATAAACCAGCTTTACAAGTTGCAAAATATACTTCAGCTTGGCAAGTTTATACACTCTCATTTTTTTTTCTTTTTTTTAATTGAGGTATAGTTGATATACAGTATTATAACACTTCATTTACTTGATGAACTAGAACTTTAGAATTAGTCGCTATAGATGAAAATGTCAGTGGCTTTCTGATTTTTACCAAAGGCACCCCGATACAATTTCATTTCATTCATTATGCCCTTTTTAAAACTGGACAATTACAACACTGAGCATTTGAAATTTTAAGCCTGTCACACACTCCTACTATTTATATAATGCCAAACACTGGCTAGAAAAGTTTTTCTCCACTGAATTAATTTTCTTAAAAAGTCATTTTGGCAATTTTAGATGCTCCATAGACATAACTTTGTAACATGTCAGTGCGGTAGCATCTCAATCATTCCCAGCATCTTTCATGCTGGGCAAATGCACTGCTGGTGTATTTCCAGTGTGTGCAATTATGAGTCATGTGACCACCTTTTGAGAAGGCTTCCTACTAGGCTGATCTTGTCATGGACTGTTATATAACATACTCCTCCCTCCAAAATCACTGAAGACAGGTTAAGCTTTTTCAGAGAATAGTTCTCTCAGACAGGATGTATGAGGCCATAGACTCTAGTAAAATAAGAATAATACTGGAATTCATAGACCGTGGTCTGGTCCTAACTTTGTACCAACCTGGCTATATGATTTTGAGCAAATCAAAGCTTCTTTGAGCCCCAGTTTTCCCATCTGAAAACCTAAAGTGTCGGGCCATTTGATTTCTAATATCCCTTTCAAGAGTATCAGTGGTGTCTCTCCTTCCTGCTTTCCTCAGTGGTGTGTCTCCTTCCTGCTTTCCTTATCTACCTTCTCTCCCACATGTATATGCTCTTAAGGTAGAAAAATATGTGTTGGTAAGGAAATTAATTGAACAATAACAGCTCACAATTGACATTCTTCTCACAGCCCGGGCACCCCCTACTAGTACAACGGAAGAAACAGCTACCCAGAAAGAGCAGTGGTTTGAGAATGGATGGCCTGGGGAATATCCCCAGAGGCCAAAAGAAGACTCTCATTCAACAGCAGGGACAACTGGTAATGGATGGTTTCACAGGCAGACTTGGGTAAAAACTTCCTCTGGGGTTAAGTACTGGGCATTGAAGACAGTGAACAAGAAGAGTTTGAAGGAAATGTCACAAGGTGTTACAGTTCCTTAATCACTTACCATTCAGTCAACACAGAGCCAACCCTTAAGTGCTCGTAACAAATCACCAGCACAGAAATGGATACAGGCACATAAGGAGACACAGAGAATATGCCCTTACATACGTCACTTTCAGATCTAATTTTGGGCATCCCCTAGTAAGGGGATGCAGGGACTCTGACCTTATAAAATACTCCCTTTGCTTTTGTAAAGGAATCTGCTCTATGATATGGGTCCAGGCTTTACAACACAGTTCTGTAAAACCCTGGGCTTGTTAGAAAGCTTTTGGTCAGAACCTCAGTAGTCAAAGGAATGGAGCCAGACATTTTGAGAAAAACACCTGTCTGGTGTCATTTGGCCCTTTGTCGTGTTTGTTTGGAGATTTCTCCTTGAATGTACAATGTTTTCTTCTTAGATTTATAAAAAACACCTCTTCTCTATATTTGAATTGTGGGACTGGGGAGCTTAGACCCAATCTTGTCAACATTTCTAAGTGATGCCAGATAACTTGGCCCTACCAGCTCCCGTGCATGATTCTTTTGTCTGTGTGACAGAAATATTGAAATGCATGCAAGATGCATTCTTGTAAAAGAATGTGAATTCCATATCGTTACTTAATATCAGTGAGAAATATCCCTGTGTTTTTATTTGCAGTATAGAATGTAATGTATGATGTTCTTCTGGTGTGTGGCAGCTTCTGAATGCATAGCTGGCAGAGCAGTGGATTCAGTGACTGGATATGTGGTGTAGTTGTTGCTAAGGGGCTACTATTGTCATCTTTTCTCCCTATACGTCTTCAGTGGCTCAGAGTGAAGCCAAAGCACGTGCTGCATTCTTATATGCCACTGTGCCATAAATCTCATTGTTAGAAGGTGATGCTTCTAATAGATTCCACTCATGCTTTTGAGATGAATGGCATTTACTTTCACGTTTATCTCAAGGGAAGCTGTTACCTGATTCCTTCTCTAAATCACTACTGGCCTAATGTGCATTTCACTGGGGCGTGGTTGTCTAGGAACGACATCATGTGTTTGGACTTTTACACTTCCTCCCTTAGGGGATGGTGGCAGCATGGTGTAGGTAAAGAACTATTTCTCCTCCATCTTCACTTGATGTCTATAACTTCTTATCTACCCACTGGAGAAGTCGTTAATGCTTTTGTGACCTCTAGTTCACATGCTGATCGCTAGGAAAAATGAGCATGAATGAACCTATACCTGCTAAAACATTCTGCAACTTCCTGGCCCTCCATATCCGGAAGACGGTTTCATTGTCTTGTATAGAAAATAAAGTCTTTAAAAAATCAGTGTATCCCTGGCCAAATGTCAACTAACACTTTGACAATTGCTTGAACTGCATTGTCACAGCAGCCTCAGCCCATGACAGCCATCAAAATCAAAGAGTGACAATGCAGAGCCAAGAGGACCGTTCCTGGACTTATTTCTTCGACCCAGTCTCACATCCAATGGGACGAGGTCATCAAACAGAAAGAAGGATGGGTAATAATCTCTGAGCTTTTTTATATATTATGTTTTTGAAAGCCCTCAAATGGCTCTTTTCCTAGAAATATGCCCTTGGCCTTAGACCAGTCTGCTTTCCTAAGGAACTTTAAGTTTCTTCAAAAATTAGTTTTCTTGGTAAGAGTGATATGCACATGCATCTGAATCTGAAGTCCTAGGTGAGAGTGGAGAATTTGGCGGGAAGGTTAAAGAAGGATTAGTCCTAAGATGATGGGAGTGGAAGTCATTTCCTCTGAAGAGGAGTAGTTTCAAGATTTCTTTTCCATTTACTTCTAAGTGCAGGGTTTTAAAAAGGGTGAAGTGATGGATTCAGTGACTGTCTCCATTATAGACCCAAAGATAAAACTTGTCTTTGGTAGAGAAATCTTCGAGATCAAAAACTGATTAGTACTCATTCCAAACAAGTAACTAAAAGGCTCAGAAAATGGTATTAATTACTCTTGCACACTTAGAAATAAATACTATACCCAGTGACTTAGGATTTAGACCACTCTTATCCATCAATAAATGTTCATGAATTTAATGAATGGACAGCTGTTACACAAGATGGAATCTTTGTTTTCTTAATTAGCATCAATTCAAAAACAGAATTAAACAAGAGAGAGTAAGAAAATACTAGCTGGAGTTATGCAAGAATGGAAGATTGTTATTTTATTTAACAAATTTTTATATTTAAAAGGAATTTTTCCTTTATCAGAACCAGATGACAACGTTCCTGAGAGAATCTGAAAGAGTTGGTAGCAGGTGGTGCCCCTCTTTTCTCAGTGTTTACGAAGTGGAAGAATCCATGTTTTATCTTTGGGAAGAATCCTTACTATATCCATGAATAGAATTATGCCAGTTTTATTTATTTATTTTTAATTTAACAAGACGTCTTGATCACAGAAATGTAACATTCCAAAAAGGGAGATCAACCAAAAGAACCAATATGGGGATATGAATTTTCAGTTGTAGCATTGAATATATTATTTGGGTCCAAACTCCCAAGGGTATACGTGACACAAAACTACTGAAATGAGTTCTCAGAATGCAATGATAGTGTCACTTGGTATTGAGTTAAACAAAGTTATCTCCAAAATCAATCCAACAGTTTCTATGGTTTCATTTTTCCAGAACACCCTAACTATGTTGTACCCAAATATTAGTGATCATATATCCCTTAAAGTACAATCGTCTTAAATATCTGCTAATAGAATTGTATTAATACTTTATATGCAATGCTTTATGGAGACAAACAATGTACACTTAATTCATGGTCCATGCTCTTAAGGAACTTAAAAGTTAGCCAGGAAAAGAAAACAGTTAGCTTCAAAATAGACCTAACAGTACAATACAATAAGTAATAGATGTCAAATGAATATTGCTAGCAATAAACACAAAGTAAATTCAGAGGACCCCTTGGAGAATATCAGAGAAATGTAGATTGGATCTGGTTTTTGAAAAATGGAAAAAACCCTGGTTAGTCAGAGAAAGGTAGTTGGAGAAAGTTTTTCTAGGAAGGAAACACATGTAAGGACAGGTTTAAAGGAAGGAAAGCCAAAGAATGAATTTGGCAGAGTGAATGGATCCGTATGTCACAAAGGAAGATGAGTGTGAATGGTGAGGTTGGGGCCATTATGTTGTGTGGCTGAAGTGCCACTTGCAGGCCCATTACACATTTTATGCACATGGTGGCTAGAGGCTCTGATGATAACCATTGTGGAAAACCAAGCCAGTAAAAGAGCTTCAGAATCAATATTAAGTCTCCATATTGATGAACAGAATGAGTTTCTGTCAAACTGATGATGTCAAGAACATTACAATTGGCTTCAACCATGGAATGGTGTGATACCTCTTAAAGGAAAGATGAGCAAGAGTGTCTAGAGACCATCAACAGGCAGGACTTCTTCTGGGAGAATATCCATTTGGGGTTTTGATTTGGATTAGTTAGCCTTTCCTCTTTTTTGAATAATTACTATTACTGTTACTACTACTACTACTACTACTACTACTACTATTATTATTAAATAATAGAGTCAGCCACGTTTTGTCCTACAAAGACCTTGATACTCTTTTCTTTTTATATGTAAAGGCTGCAATGTAGACGTGGGTGCCTAATATTCCACTGTTTCCCTCCGGAGTCATCTGGAGCACGTTGAGTCTCCCCAGAGGCAGCAGTGTGGGTGGACTTTGAATCCAAGAGCCAGCAATAGTGATGGTTATTATGGTTTGTGTGGCCTCTATTTCACTCAGGACTTATTTCAGCAAAATAGATTTGTGATAGTTATTAGAAACAGCTTCTATAAATATTTCAGTGAAATTTCTGTACCACTCAACATTGTACATGTTACATTCCAAAGACATTTCCTACTTGCGTTTATAGGAAGAATGACTCACTGACATCCATTGCTTCTTATTCCTTGCCCTAAAATGTTCCTGTAGCCGCCAACTAGATAGTATGGGATGATGATTTTATGTTTTATTTGTACGTTCACTTTGTGAAGCGAAAGAGGAGCAAATGAGGGAAAGGGCTGTAACGAAAGCTTTTGTGCCACGTCAAGGGCATATGACAAAATGGTGCCTGAACCAGTGCACTTTGTCTTTTCTCCATGTGTCAGATCACTTGTGTAGAATGGGACAGGTCACACGTGGGTTATATTTCCATCTGTCTGCAAGGCTTGGGAGACCCATCATGTGCTCATTTAGCATTCTTCCAGATTCAGCAAAAAAAAGAACAAAAATTGTAGCTTTCATACAACTCAGCCTTTAAATGAAAACCAGTTACTTCTTGGGATGCTCTTTTGGAGAGATGATAATCCATTTCAATTCTGGAGACATGAATCAGTATGTGCTTTCTTTCCTCGTATACAGGTTTGAATATAAGAATAATTTGTCTCTAGACCATAAACAACCCTCAGATAGTAGTTAGGAAGTCAAGCAATAACGCTGATTTAATTCCTTCAGATATGGACATCAGCCATAGTACAACGCTTCAGCCTTCGGCAGATCCAAACACAGGTTTGGTGGAAGACTTGGACAGGACAGGACCTCTTTCAGTGACAACTCGTAAGGATAATGACACTCGGTCTCTATTGATCTGTATTCCTGCTTCAGCTCTTGCTCTCCTCGGCCCCAATGCAGGGCTTGGGCTTGGTAATGGGACAGCACATTCAGGGCTTGGTGATGGTACAGCACGTTCAGTGCTACGTGGCTCAGCTCAGCTCAGAACATAAAAGCTGTCTTCATTTTCTATATTTTCTTGATGGTTCTTTAAATCTGATTATACCCTCATTTGTGGCGCTTTCCAGATTCAATGACTTTATGTTGAAACATAAAAAAAAGGATGTGGGACTCCATTCCACTTGATCTTCCTTTTCTGAGTAGTTATGTTAGTGAAATTCAAGGCCACAGCTAGGACAGTGGTGTCTCTATGCTTTAACTGACCAGCTCCTTTAGATTCCCATCTTTCAATCAAGGCAGAAGAGGGGTAGCCTTTTTTCAATGGTTGTAAAAACATGTTTTGGGGCCAGATAATCACAGAGAGTAGGGAAATCACATCAGCCCACAGCGGAGGAGCAAATATGTTGTTGACAATTGACATGGGTTGCAGGGCCCGGGAACAAAAGAGGAACATTTGCTATATCTCTTCCTATCACTAAACATCTGGTAGAAACAATGCTAAACTTCTAGTAGCCTTAATGTCCACCACAGATACAGGGCTATCCTAGAGATCACCATAAAGTCATTCATAATTTCTTGACTGAATATGAAAGAAATCCAGAATTAAGAGGGCCTCATTTCACTGTTGGCTACACATAATGGGCAGAGTCTTTTCATGTGAGCCCTTTTAGGCAAAGGGAAAAATCCGCAAGGACGTGTTAGTTGTCAAGAATATAAATAACCCAGTGTTAAGCGTCAAAGGAGATGCAGATAAGCCTTAAAATGCTCCTTGACAATGGAGGGTCTCATATTCCTACTTTATGTCCCTGTTGACTTTTGTTCTGATGTTGGGTTTGGGATTTGGTGACTGCCTCTCTCCTGGTTGTAATATTTACTTGGTGGTGGACATGGCTTAGTGGTGTGCTTTATGGAGTGCTTGCACCTGTAACTCAGAGGTCAGTCCCTTTCTTAGAAGAACACAAAAGAAATTAACTCAAAACAATGAAAGCCATTTCAGATATGGGCAATGGTTCAACCTGAAATGGATATATATATCAGTGAGGACCCTGTGTTTGCCCAGACGAGCATTTCCTGGCATTTCAGTGCAGTGATGAGAATTCTCATCCACAGGTGAGATCAAAAACCTGAGTACAATGGTAACTTAATTTCATGTTCTTTAGAAGAGACTTAAGTGTTTCCTTGTATAAATTTGACCTGAGCAAGTTATTCTAGATGAAGTTCTTCCTCTTGTGTGGTTGCATGTATACTACCTGTTATGATCGTGTTTATTTTCCCTATAGTCACACTTCCTGACACACAGCTAAGGTGCTCTTGATGGTTGATAGGAACACCGGGATTCAAACATTCCTTTAAAAAGGAATGTGTTCCTTTTTAAAGAATGTGTCTCTGTGTTCTCTGATTTTCCTGAGTGACAGGAAGCAATGCTATAATTGGGCCAGGATGATCCAGGGTGGGCAAAGTTTTAGCCCAGATTTCACCTTGGCATTTTACCTTGTTTATTGTACTGAAAAACAAAGCCAACTAGGGGCAAAGCAGAATTCTGTTGCGCATTTCTGTCAATCGCAGGAGAATGGTGTGCACAAACCTTGGTTTTCCTATGCATCTATCCATCTGACTCCACTATATTAGATCCTCCCTGTCAGCAGATAACAGAGGGCTTGTTTCATGACTACAAAGTAACACTGGATTCATCCCTCATTGAAACAGAGCAGAGTGATACTCAGAGCTTCTCTACATCACATGGAGGCTTGGAAGAAGACAAAGACCATCCCATGACTGCTACTCCAACATCTAGCAGTAAGGACTGTAAAGCCCAGGTGGCTTGGGCTATTGACAAAAAAAGTCAATGAACTATGGGTGCTTTTGCAGTGTCTTTGGTGGAGGTGCATCAGTTGGCTGTTCTTGTGCTCTTACCCCTGGTCAGAAGCTGTGGCTGGCGGTGGTTCTCGGATTTTTCTGCTTTGTAGATCTCTTAGAAGCCATTGTATATTAAATGCAAACTATATATTTTTTAATCTTAAAGTTTGGGTTTCTTAAACTCCAGAGTTAGTGGCTTTGTTTAAAAATAACAGATCACTTATGTATGATTTGGTGGAAAGATCTGAATTATATCACTCTCTATATTCCTTGCATTAATAATATTATTTTTCCATTTATCCTCTGGACCATAAATCCATGGCGCTGGTGACCAAGAAGCAGTGCCCTCTGGCAAAGGAAAGAATAATCAAAGCCTCAACGTCTTTGAAACTTTGCATTTGCTCTTCCAATCACAGGGAGCATAATTTTACCTGTCAGCTCAATAGCTTGTTTCTTCCACTTCATCAAAGGTGGATCCAATTGAGTAAGAGCTCAAGATTATCTAGTACCTGAGTTGACTTCAAGGTAACAGGTCTAGCGGCATAAACCTTATTTTAATAAGCCAGGTAGATGATGCAACAAATGTCTCTTCTAGGTATTAGGATCACCAAAATCTCTTCCGTTGAATGATGTCCAGGCGGTATTGATTGCAAAATATTGATTCTGTTCAATAGTGTAACAAACCACACTTGTCTTTTGCACCGTGTTCACAAATAACAAGTGGAAAGCTTTTGCAGCAATTTCACATTCAGAAGACAAGCACACAATTGGTGGTGGTCTTACAAATGTGGGTTTACCATTGATTCCACCTCCACACAGATAGGAATGATGGCACAGGTGGCAGAAGAGGTGGAAATCTTCCTGAAGACTCAACTGCTTCAGTGGAAGGTTATACTCCTTATTCTCCAGACACAAATGAATACAGAACCCTCATCCCAGTGACCCCTGCTAAGACTGGGTCACCTGAAGTTACTGAAGTTACTACTGTTGGAGATCCTACTTCTAATGTTGATCTTTCTTTATCAGGTAATTTGGCCATTTGTTATCTGGTTTGCTTTCTCTACGGGGAGAAACAACACATCCTTTCATATTATAGGGGATGTCTTCTGTGTAGGCTGTGATTAGACTGATTTGTAACATGGGAATGGCTTTCACACAGATCATCATTCTAGTGCAGTAGATTTATTTTAGATAATGTTTTCATTTGCCTGTGAAATTTCCATTGATTTTTTGTGACTTGGTTGTTATGGCAGAATTTCTTTCTTTGTCTTCTTCCTGATCTTGTGATATATTTAGTTGAACTATATGAAGTGGGTATTTTTGTAAGTAAAATTAGTCAAGTATCAATTTCATTTGATTCAACTAATATATGCTGCCTATGTAGTAAGGCTTTACCCAACTTGTGAATAATTTCCATATACTAATATCTTTGCTCTGAAATTCTCTTTTATTGGTGATGGATTGGTGAATTTTACTTTTGGTGAAGGGCTTATGGATAACCTCTTCTAACTATGTTGTACACTTAAAACTATATGATTCAATCTACTGTTAATGACTAGGCACCCTTTCTCTCGTTGTGATGGCAAACAGATGACTGAAGATGACTTATTCAATTAAGTTACACATGGAACTAGCAATCCTCCCTGCTTCCACTTTTGTTTCTCTGTCTGCATTAAGAAACTAACTTTGAAGAAAAGGAAACTGCAAAATACCCTGGCTAAGAAACTAAAATTGAACTCTCTCTTCCTGGTGCCAACTGTTCAAATGTTCTTACCGTTCAACCATTAAGGGATATTAGATATTCATGATTTTAAACATATATATATATATATATATATATGGTAGCATATGTGTGTGTGTATATATATAGTAGCCTATGTCTTTTCCCATCCCCCTCCCTCTCAAAAAGAAGAATAAATCTTATGAGAACCCAACATGTAAAACAGATAACAGCTGTGATACTGTTACTTGATGTGGGACAGAAAACCCAGAATGAGAATGCCACGTGCTTGGCCTCTATCCTAGAGCCCACATGCTTGGGCTGCCCATCCCAGGGCTTCAAGGAAAACAGTTTTAAAAAATACTAACCTCGGGCTTCCCTGGTTGCGCAGTGGTTAAGAATCTGCCTGCCAATGCAGGGGACGTGGGTTCGAGCCCTGGTCCGGGAAGATCCCACATACCACAGAGCAACTAAGCCCGTGCGCCACAGCTACTGAGCCTGCGCTCTGGAGCTGGTGAGCCACAACTACTGAAGTCTGCATGCGTAGAGCCCATGCTCCGCAACAAGAGAAGCCACAACAATGAGAAGCCCGCATACCGCAATGAAGAGTAGCCCCCACTTGCAGCAACTAGAGAAAGCCCACGCACAGCAATGAAGACCCAATGCAGCCAAAACAATAAATTTTAAAAAAATATACTAACCTCGACAGTACTGGCAAGACAAAAGCCCTTACATCCGTTGGTTCTTTATTCAGCATAGGTCTGCCCTCAGTTATTAAAAATTCCTAGCAGCAGTGTCAGTATTCTTCTGGAGAAATGAATCTTAAGAGCACTGCCTGGTTTCTTTTGGCAAAATAGAGCCCTTTATGCACCCAAATGAATTTAAATTTTAAATGGCAATTTTAATAGTTACAGTAGCCTTGAAGGATTACATAGTCTATTTGTTAGTAAATAAAATACTTTCTACAAAATTGATATTTACATACCCTGATTCCTTCTACATTCTGTGGTGGTATAGACAGATTTTCCATAGTTCTCCATGGATTAAATGATCTATCACCCTTTGTTTTCTTCCAGAACACTCAGATAAGGCTCATTTCCTCCCATACATTTTTTTTTTTCTCCATCTTTTTGCTTGATGTTAAAAATGAAAACATCTGGAATTGTGGTGGTGGTGATGGTGGTGGTGATAATGGTGATGGTGGTGGTGGTATTGGTGTTCAGCATTTCAGCAAATGCTGTTTCCAGTTTTTCTAACCATCAGCCGAGGAACAAAGCAATATATCTCCCCCGTACAATTACATAATAGCTTGCAGGTCACCTATGTCTGCCTTGTCTAAACAAGGACATGGTGAAGATCAGATTACTGTGTATTCCTTATAAGAACCTTTCATAATGGGTGACCATAGCCATTTTATGAACTATTGTCCTGTGTTGTTTTGCTTTAAGATTCCATTAGAGTTGTGGAAAATGTGTGGGGAGGAGGGAGAAGACCGAGAGTTTCCATATGCTGAACCCAAGATTTGACCTGTGGATGCAGATTTTAGCAATTCATAAACTTGCCTCAATCTAAAGCCTTTTGGTGATGGATGTTTGAGAAGATGGGATTATAGTAACTCTTGGTGTTAAAAATACAGATTTAATTTTTGGGAAATATTACTTGGAACATAGTCTAATAACCAGGCGCACCTTAGCCACGTGTCAGTTATCATCTCCCCATTTCTTTTTCACTTATTTTCAGACTTTTTCTCTAAATAAGCAATTGACTTTTCCCTTTGAATCCTTACATGATTCAACCCCAAGATCCTTTATTGCACACCAAAACCTTTTTCTATTTCCTGCCTCAGAGAAATCTCTTTAAATGTCTCATGCCCTAAGCCACAGAGTACACGCATTCCCAGTGATCACATTTGTCATGATCCAAAGCATGTAGTCCTTATTTCAAAGACACAGTATCAAATCCACACCTCACACTTGCCAAGACCTCATAATATTTTTGGTAGAGTGTTACAGTTTGGGGATTTTTACTAAAGCCACACTTCCTATGGTCATCCTTGCAGGTCTGTGCTGTCCCAGTTTTTAAAATTTTGATTAAAGCTCTAGACCACTCATCAGTAGATGAAGCAATGAACAATATTTCATATCGTGGACCCATTCAAAGCTCCTTTGTCATTGTTTTTGGCTACCTTTAAAAGGCTGAACTTTGTGATGGGCTGTGTGAAAATGCACACGTGAGGAAAAGCAGATGGCAGTGTAACTGAGCACACAGTACTCAACCTCCCTTTATTGCTCCTTACAGAAGACCAAGACTCATCCCATGACCCCAGCGGGAGGTCCTATACAACTAATGGATCCGAATCAGCTGGTGAGTTTGAGCTGCTTTAGTCATTTATTGTTATTGTCATTGAACCTGCTGATTATTAATGAAGTATGAGTCAGTGTCTCCTGAAGATTGGTTCTCATACGTTCTCTGCATGCATCACAGTCACGGGGAGGGCTTATTAAACTACACTGCTGGGCCTTATCCTTAAAGTTTCTGATTCGGTAGGTCTGGGGTGGAGCCCAAGCATTTGTATTTCTAATAAGTTCTCTGGTGACGCTGATTCTGCTGGGACAGGGACTCCACTTTGAGAACTACTGCTTTCAAGAAAATTCTTCCATCTGAAAGGATCAGGAAGAATTCAAGCAGGCGCTCAGTTTAACATTGCATTACACCAGAGTGATTAAGAACATGGGTTTTGGAGAAAGAACGGCCTGGGTTTGATTCCAATCCTCCACATGCTAACGAGAGACCTTGTTTAAAGGATCTGAGACTCGATTTCCTAACCAATAAAATTGGGATAATAATAATTGTCACAGGGCGTTGTTTTAAAGACTAAATGATGTATACTTGTAAAGCATTTAGCATAACCTCCCCTCCCTGAACATGGCATAACAGCTAGCCTTTATTGAGAATTTACTGTGTGCTGGTGGCATTGTTCTAAACACTTTACATGTATTAGGTTGGACCATATGAAACTGCCATTTCTGTAGGTCAACAGTCAAATATCAGTGATTTCATATGTTTCATCTATTATTAACTCATTTAATTATGTCAGTACTATTATTATCCCAGTATTACAGATGAGGAAACTAAGGCTCAGAGAGGCTAAGCAACCTGGCTGAGTTAACATGACTAGTGAGCTGAGTGGTGGAGCCAGGTTTCAACCCAGAGGTCTCGCATTGCTTCTAGAAGCAGGATCTGGAGAAAGTACCCTGTAATGACCATCGTTACTGCCGTAATTACTGTAATGATCACACCCCTAGAAACATTACTCCAGGCAGCAAAAGTAGGCCATAAGGCAGGTTGACTTGTGACCACTGATGCTGGGGCTACTGAAAGGTTCTGCCAGTGCGGTCTCACTGTGGTCTCCCTGGCAGTCACCAGTCCAGGTGACCCCATGCAAACCAGGTAAGCCATATGAACTATTGTCCTCCCCTTCATGCCCAAGTGGGAGTAGGGTTACTTCCAGGCTTGAAGATTCACACACTTACAGCAATTATGAAGATGGATATTTACATGGTGGCTTCAGTAATCACCTATACTGTAAGAGCACAGGGATGTAAGGGCCTAGTAGAAATGCTCCTAAAATAAAGACAGAAGTCCCAAGCTCTCTGGGGGCCTTGGGTGGGGCAGTTAGCCTTTCCCAGCTTCCATTTATTGGTAAAAAGGAGATCAGAACACTGGCCTCCGTTACCTCCTAGAGTTCTTGTGAAGAGCGTGTGGTAGCAGGAATTTGAAAGTGTTTTGGAAATGATATGGATCTCTGACTAAAAGGAAGTGCTCTTTAAAATCAAGAGACCCCAGCCACTCCAAGTGTGCTCCCTGGACCAGCAGCAGGGACATCACCTAAGAGCTGGCTGGAGATGCAGACTCCCCAGTCATCCCAGACCAACTGAATCGAGAGCTGCATTTTAACTAGGCCCCCCCCTCCCCCACTAGGTGGTTTGTATGTATATTGAAGTTTGAGAAACACTGTCTTAGACTTTTTCCTCACAGTCAGAGCCAGTTGAATGATCTCTGTGCCTATGTCTTAGATTGGCTCTCACCTCCCAACTGCATTGTTAAGCATCCCTCTTTGCAGAACTTCCCCAGCCAGCCCTACGCGGGCTAGATTTGCAGGCCTCTAGGGCGCAAGTCGAGGCAGCCTGCTGTGTCTCCTCCATCTTCCTCCAGCTTCTTAAGCTCTTGCTTGAAGTGAGAATCAGGTGGGCGGGAGCAGTCTCTTTTGTTTGCCTCCTGTGCAGGGGTGTATTGTTCAAATGGGAGGTTTCCTCTGGTTGTACACACACCCAGATCTTTCCTTGCTGGGAGCACTGTTTTGAAAATCAAAATAGAGATTGTGGTCCATTAGTGGCATCCCATTCAAATATCAAAGGCTGCTATGAGTCAGAGAAAGACCAGTGAGAGTGGCTGTACCTCTTAGGTGGTTTTCAAGGCAAGGATCTCTAGTTTAGATGGCCAGTATCCCCTGACCTGTACAGGCAAACACCTGCCAATAATGACCAAGGCCTCTGGGTGGCAGCCAGAGGAAGCCCCTGGGACTCCTTCTGAGGTTTGTACAGTAAAAGGCCACTGTCAAAATGGCCTGCTGAAACAGCCAGATGTCTGGTAGACTTTGTTTTGCTCCATTTTGAGTTTAACAAGAACATCACATTGCATAAACAGGAGCCATTCTACCCAAAATAACCACAGCCATCAAAATTTCAGAGTCCCCTATGCACAGTCTGCAGTTTGACCCTCTGAGAAAAGACCATTTAAGGCCTGGCCATCTTCATTCATTGATTAGCCAAACAGACTTCCTTGGTTTTTTTCTTGGAAGCCTTCAGGATTCTGCAGTGGGGTCCTGTTGGGTAGGGAAAAAGAGTTGATTTTAGTGGGAATTTTTCACATTTCGCTTTGAAGCAGTGGAGGAAGCACAAAACACACACACACACACACACACACACACACACACACACACCCCAAAACTTTCACTTGGGTGCGTGTCCTTCACAGGATGTCGTAGAAGTTTCTTTTAAAACATAATTCCTCCGTCATTTTGTTTATTTACTTATTTTTGGCCGTGTTGGCTCTTCGTTTCTGTGCGAGGACTTTCTCTAGTTGCGGCGAGCGGGGGCCACTCTTCATCGCGGCGCGCGGGCCTCTCACTATCGCGGCCTCTCTTGCTGCGGAGCACAGGCTCCAGACGCGCAGGCTCAGTAGTTGTGGCTCACGGGCCCAGTTGCTCCGCGGCATGTGGGATCTTCCCAGACCAGGGCTCGAACCCGTGTCCCCTGCATCGGCAGGCGGACTCTCGACCACTGCGCCACCAGGGAAGCCCCTCCTCCGTCATTTTGATGAACCTCCCGTTCTGACTTTTGGATTCTTTATCTTGTGATGCTTCCTGTTCCTTCCAGTTTGAGATCCTTTATTTGTCTCCTTATTTGGTTTTGTAGCAGTAGAAAATGTTGTCTTCTAAGCAGTGCATGTTTCAGGGATACATTAACAGGCACTCTCCTTCGGGTGATTTTTCACAGACAGAAGGGGCCATTGCCCCTCCCACCCCAAATGCTTATTTTTTAATGCCTATATTTATATCTATTGAAGATATTGGATATGGTTTTAAGATTTGTCTTCAACTACCTGGAGCATTTGAATCCCCTAGGGATATTGTTAAAAATGAGGATTCTGACATTTGGGATGAGGCCTAAGACTCTGTATTCCCAGCAAGCTCCCACGTGAGGTTGCTGGTCCAGGGTAGCAAGATCCTAAGTTAAAAACAGAAAATTGTAATATTACTGTGTGCAAGCTCATACTGCTCGCTGCGTGACAGGCCAATAAATCAAGAGATGAGGTGTTGGGGCAAGGAATAGTGACTTTATTCAGGAAGCCATGCAGACCGAGAAGATGGACTGGTATCCCAAAGAACGACCTTGCCTGCGTTAGAATTCAGGCTTCTTTTATCCTAAAAGAGGAGGGAATAAAGTCAAACTTTTCCTGGTTTCCGGTCAGCCTCGGAAGGGATGTGTTAATTTCTTCCTTCCTGCAGTCATTCACAGGTGAGGCTGATCAGAATGTTTCCTATGAGTGAAACAGATATTTTACCATAATGCTCATTCCCTGGGAGGCAGGGTTCCCAAAGATGGGCCATTATGTATAATTCAAGCTTATAGGTAGCATCCCTTTAGTGATTGACTTGTAATAGAAACAGAGGTTCTTCCCTATTACAGTAACTGCACACAATTACCATTCTTGTGCACTTCTTTAAACCTCTGTAAAATGATGATGAAGTGGATTCTATTATTACCCCATTTTATGAGTGAGAAAACTGAGACCTAGAGAGGGATGACTTGACCCAGCAGATGTTGCTGGCAAGAGACAGAAGTAGGGCTTGAATCCAAGGCTGTCCTGCTTTACAGCCTCTTAAACACTGCATAGTACTGCTGCTGAGAATTCTCATGCTCTTGTAGAAAAATAACATTTCCAAACCTTAGCCTTAATCAAACCGAGTTTTTCTGGGGAAGTGTTTTTTCATGCAACACATTATAAATGTCTGTGGCTTGAATCTATACATAGCTTTACAGTGATGCAGCACATAGAGATTGGCCCTATGTGCTACTCTGTAAGGAACTCATGGTTATGCGTGCCAAACTTTGGTTGAGAGATGTTGTTTTTCTCTTTAGGGCACTCAAGTGGGAGTCAGGATCGTGGGGCAAACACAACCTCAGGTCCTATGCGGAAACCTCAAATTCCAGGTGAGTTTTGAGCTGTGAAGGAAAAATAATGCTAAAAGTGGGTCTCTCTGAATGTCCCAGAAAGGAAGCAGAGACCAGCTAGAAAGCGTATTCTCCTGCATGTCTAACCTTGAAGCTGTGTGGCTCCTCTTTTCAAGCTAAAGGGTGAATGAGAGCACCACAGCCTCTTGGTGGGAAAGGATGGAACATTCCTTTTTTCCTCGGTCCCATAGATTGACTGAGCTCATATTTAGACCTGTCCCTGGTCTGTCCCAAAGAAGCGCCATGTTAGTTACTACAGCTTCCTTCCCAAATGAGTGGTCACCCCAGGGGCTCCTTGTCATCCCCTGATCCTTTTCCTATCCCAGTCCGGTTATCTCTTTACTTCCGGGTTTGGGGTGAAGCGTGTAAATTTCCCCTTGCATTGCAGACAATGGGGAGATACAAGGGTCATGTTAGGCGGAGTGAGAATATTCTTCTGGCATAAAAGCTAAAAGAAAAACTACTTTTTCTCGAGGGACATTCTTTACTGATCCAGACAGAAGAAAGTTTCAGAATGTGTGATGTGCAGTGAGAAGCCTGGGCCACTTGGCTCCCTTGAGCATCAGGATTTAAGGCATTTGAGGCAAATTCTTTATTCCACTTGGGCTCAAAACTGGGCATTTGTAAAGGGGGATTACAATAAAGGAAGGTTTTTCCTAGGGTTGTAAATGACTCTTTTAACTCTGCTCTTCAGAGGTCTGCAGACTGAGCCTCCCTTGGGGAGAGGGAAGAACGTGGTGTGGGCGCATCCCCTTACCTCGGCTTATCTGAGCAGAGCACGTGGAGAGGGGGAGTGGGCTGAGCCGGGGAGGGGGGCGGGGGTATGCAGTTGGCTATAATCAGGCAGCAAGATTTTCCCCAGCTCTAGTGAGAGTGAATATGGAGCATCTCAGGGCTAGAACCCTGGGAAAAGAACAGAAATGGTAACTTCCTGTCAGCCTCCCCACCTCCTAACTCTACCTCCCTCCCCAGACTCACCTAACCAGGGAGAGGTCAGACAGAGGCAGTACTGAGCAGGAAATCAGAGGAGAATCAAGCTTCCCAAAGAAGAATGGCCAGTGAATGGCTTCCCATTTTTCTTGTTCCTTAAGCTTTAGTTCATTGCGTGGATATACGGCCCACTTTGCAATTGACTTGCAATTGTCAAGTCATATGTTAATCCTACTAAAGCTTGGTTTTAAAACATATAAATAACATTTTATTGGTCTACAAGTGATACATTACTTTTTGGAGACATTTTTGAAAATACAGCTAAACAAAAGTGTACAAATATAAATCCCTTATTATCTACCTCACCATCCAGAAATACCATGGTTACCATTTTCATGTATGTCCTGTTATTTTTCAATCTAATTTCTATAAAAACATGTAATTATACACACTGTTTAGTAAACTACATTCCCAACTGGTTGGCTACAGCTTTCCAATGTCATTAAATACTCTTCCCCTGTATCTTAGTACACAATACAATGGATGTACCCTAATTCGTTTAACCAGTCCCTAACTGTTGGATAGTAGGTTGTTTCCAACTTTATTATCACAAACAGCACAGTAATAAACATCTTTATAGCTAAGTCTGAGGTCCTATATATTCCTAGAAGTGTTAATGATGGATCAAAGGCTGTATATCTTCAAGGATTTTGACAAGTTTTGCCAAATGACCCTGCCCTATACACACAGGAATGTCCTTTTTCCCACCCTCTAGTGGCCTCCATTTTTGTTCCTTAATAAAATGTAAGGTGAATGCTCTCATATAGGAAAGTAATGTTCCTTTAATTTATTTAATAACATTGCACCAACGGCATCTACAGGTTTCCACAGGTCATTCTGCACATTTTTGGAAACGTGTTTTTCTTGGGGGGACTTGGAAATCTTGACTGATGATAAGAGATGAAAACAAGAGTCCTGTTGGGCAAAGACCTACAGCAAAATAATTCTTCCAGTATTATCTGGCTATTGACTGGACCTTTGGTTGGATCCATGTATAGAGCTGACTGTAATTCTTTTTTGGACCAGGTCAATTTGTAAAGTGCATTTCTGTTTTCACAAGCTTATTTCCCAAGTTCATGGATATCTTTTGCTTCCCACCAGAATGGCTGATCATCTTGGCATCTCTCCTGGCCCTGGCTTTGATTCTTGCAGTTTGCATCGCTGTCAACAGTAGGAGAAGGTAAGGGGATGCTCTTCAGGGCCTTCAACTTTGAAAGGGCATCATTTAAACTTGGGCTGTATAACTACTAAGTATAAAACAGATAAGCTACAAGGATATAGCCAATGTTTTATATTAACTTTATATGGAGTACAATCTATAAAAATATCGAATTACTAGGTTGTATACCTGGGACTAATAGAATATTGTAAGTCAACCATACTTTAATCTAAAATTAAAAAGCCTTAGGTGATACGTCCTTGCTACTCAGAGTGTAGCCCCTGGAACCAGCAGCCTCCGCGCCCTGGAAGCTTCTTAGAAAGGCAGCATGCGATGCCCTACCCCAGACCTGCCGTATCAGAGTCTGTGTTTTGATAAGACCTAAGGGATTCATGTGGACAGTACAGTTTAAGAAGCTCTGCTCTGGCATACTCCTTAGAGAAAGGAGACTGTGATTATTTGGACATCTGCTTTTAAATAGTGGTTGACATTTTTTGGTTCTTAATTTTGGGGGGATTAAGCTCATGGGGACTCTATGTGCTGAAAGTTGTGCAATATCTCACCAGGAAGACATAAAAGATATACTCATTCATTAAACACATATTTATTGTGAATTCATAGCGCACAAAAACGCTATATAGAGATTCAGGGGTTGGCCCTTTAGCCTGTCTGAGGCCCCTAGAAGGTTCTAGAACGCTTACCTAAAGCAGGTATTAGGTTTGTGTCTTTGTTTGCTGGGTTTTTTTTTTTTTTTTTTTTGGAATGACAGTATTTTCTGCTTTCTGGAAGCTGTCATTGAAAGGATTCAGGTTACGGCCTAGGTAGAGTTCCCTGAGACTGAGGTGTATGAGACAAAAAAAAACTTTCCTTAGGGAAGTCTGAAAAACGACAGCTCCCTAGAACTGGCATGTGGGCTGTTTTGATACTGTCAAACGTCCCCTCTCTCCTACCTCAACCAAGGCCTATCGTTTTGGGACGTACGCAATGCATATATACCTGATTGAGCTGTGATCAGGCTCTAGAAATAATGTACCTAAAATGAAGTGAAGGAGGACAGTAATTCTAGCACCAGAGGAAATGAGCTTTCACAGGGGTATTCCGGAAGTGTAATTCTAAATTTCCTGTTCAACGTGTTCTAAAGAGCCACGATTTTTCTCCAAGCAAATGCAGGGGAACATTTAACCTTTGGTAAACATGCCTTGAGGTTCCTTCTTATAAGGCAAAAGAATCTTACATCCAAGTGGGACCACATTGATTGTATCACTAGATCATCTAACAGGCCAGAAAATGCCCCTCCATTTGGGGAAAGACATGGAGAAAATTCTAGAATCTTTCTTGTTGGCTTTTGGAAAGCAAGAAACAGCTCATTTCATTGCCGTGTTACAGCCCATGCAGTATCTCTACTTATCGGAGGAAATCAAATAATGTCGTTTTACACTGGTACAAGTTAAAGAAAGTGCTTTTAAAGTCGAAGAGCTGTGTTGCTATCTGTACCTTTGAGGGCATAATAAAAAAAAAATTAGTCATGATAGCCAATTTTATAAGGAGCAAAAACTAGGAAAGTAAGTCTGAAAGACCTCCTAGAAGTCTCCCATGACTAAATGGAAAGAGATTTTTATTTTTTAGTTGAATTTAAATAATGCGATTTGAGGGAGCCCTTACAAAGAGTCTTTATCCTTTCCCTCGGCCTCTGTGTTTTCTCCTAGATGACTTTTGCTCAATTAAATATGAATTTCCTATTGTCAGAAATCAATCCTTTTGTTCCAGGCCCTAGAATGCACCACTTCTGCTCACATATACAGTCCATAAGCTTTGTGCACGTCACCATAGAAACGTTGGCCTCAGATGCTCGCAGCGTGGGGGAGAACTTGGAGAAGCATCTCAGTTGTCCCCAGAGCAGCTGGAGTCCCTGCAGTGTAGCTGGTTAGCTCCTGTGTCGCTTCTCATCATGTCTGCAGCAAAAACGGGCCCCCTTGCTTTCCTCCCCCTCCTGCCAAGACCAGTGGTCACCCTGGCAACAGGCAAACAGGGACACAGGAAACAGGAGCTGGCACAGCAAGTGTCTCACAGGGAAAGTAGCTGCTTGGATGCTGTAAATTACTATGTCCTGATTTGATAATCAAAAACAGATTTGCCACGTAGCTAAAGGGTGGTTAACAGCTGCATAGGCCCCTGAGTGTGCAGTGTGTTTCTAAAGCCGCCAGCCCATTTCTAATCCTCTTAAAAGGCTGAGGCCTTTCTGCTTTGCGCGTTGCATTATAGAGGGATACAGAATCCTATTTTCATCAAAGAAAGTTTGGTTGAAGATAAGAAGCCTACAGCAGCCATTCATTTATTCAGCAAACCTCTTTTGAGGGGTGGCTACGACAGTCAATGCTGCAGAGAAGAGGAAGACATTACAACGAAAAGGGGACCATCACTTCTCTGCAAGAATCTTGAGATTTCGTGACACTACTGGCCCGTTGAATTTGAGTCAGCTAATGTTTATTGAGAACATTCTCTGGGCCAGGCCCTGTTTTGTTAATTACAGTTAAAAGATAAAAGTGGAAAAGCATTAATTGCTGAAGTGGAGGTGGGAGAGTTCAACACGGGCTTCCACGAGGAAGTGATCCGTGAGTTCCATCATCTTAAAGCTGTAGCAGTGTAGCTCACTGTAATCTCTGCTCACCCAATCTCCTGCCCTCTACAGCAGAGCTGTCCAGTATAACTTTCTGTGATGACAAAAGTGTTCCACATTTGTGCTAATACACAACCACTAATCACTTGTGGCTACTGAGCCCTCATAATGTGGCTAGTTCGACTTAAGAAGTGAATTTTCAATTTCATTTCATTTGAATTAACTTAAATTTAAAGAGACACATCTGGCTGGTGGCTGCTGGATGGAATGGCAAAGCTCCAACACAATGCAAAATAAATCTCTAAATATCTTTAAGGACTGTCAAGTAGAAGAGACAGAAGGTCAGTTGTTAAGTTACTCCCCACCCACCCAAGTCTTTCAGGATAAATTCCCCCATGCCCTAAAGATATGTTACCTGGGTCCTAAACCCCACCCGCTCCTGGCCAGGCTTCGGTCTGGCATCTTCTATAGCGCGTCGTCACTGCATCCTCAGCTAATGCCTGAGATTGAAGGGGAAAGGAGATACAGGCAAGAGGCAGATCAGTAAAAATCTCTGACCTTTAGAGTCATAAAGTCATAAAGTTGCAGATCCGGCGTAGTTCCTGCCATACCTCGCGTGATACGCTCGACTTCTTGGACTCAGAAAAGAGGTTAGCTGGATCACCTCTGAAGTACCCTCAGCTCTAATGTTTCTTTTAACATTCCTATAACTAATAAGAATGAAAAAATGAGAACTTGCTTTTTTAAAGTGCTTATGAAATGCCCGGAGCACCAAATATTGGGCTGAGTTATTTATGAGCATCACCCTGCCCTCCTGAAAGAACTCAGACAAAAAACAGAGACCATGAATCCAAAGGGAAATGGGGTCAGGACCAAACCCAAGGCCAATATTCCTAAGCCCTTCACGTTGAATGTTACCCACTTTCAAAATCAGCTTCGTTTAGGGTAATAACATTACTCCCCACTTCACCCCCTTGCACAAACATTTTTTATGAGTATAAATCACTTCCCCACAATATTTTATCCAACTTCTCAAGTACACATTAGGTAGGTGAATGGGATTTACTTTAATAAGACACCTTTTCTCCAAAAAACATCTGATGCAAACTATTATGTATGGAATGGATAAACAAGGTCCTACTCCATAGCACAGGAAATTGTATTTACTATCCTGTGATAAACTACAATGGACAAGAATATGAAAAAGAGTGTATATGTATATATGTATGTATAACTGAATCACTTTGCTGTACAGCAGAAATTAACACAACGTTGTATAAATCAACTACACTCAATAAAATTGAATTTAAACAAAAAACTATCAAAAACAAAGAACATATGAGATACCCCCTGGCAATCTGAAAAAACAGAAGCAGCGTCCACCTTTGGCCTTTTCCATCATCTTCAGAGTACGTATAACAAGGTGGGTGGAGGTAGCCAGAAGAAACAAACCAAACACATTTCATGTGGCTCTGGTTACATTAACAATTACAACAAGTGCTTCTTGAACATTTACTGTGTTCCAGATACTGTTCTAAGTGCTTATCCAAGGCCTCGGTTTCCTCACCCCACGTTGTTCAGAAGAGCAACAAACAAAACAGTGGTAGACTTATGTATCCAGTGCCAGCCTCTGTTTCAAGGGATTTTCACAATCCTTTGACACTGGTACTCTTAACAGCCTGGTGTTACAGATAAGAAAGCTGAGGTTCAGAGAAGTGAAGTGAGTTGCCCCAGGTCACACAGCGTTAAGGTCCCCAAACCAGGCCTTCCAAGCCCCTGCTCTTGTCTATATGGACTGTATCCGTATGTCCAGCCCCACAGACCATCACAAGTCAAGCACCCTTCTTCCCCCGAGCCCTCATCAAGCGTCATGCGAGAGGAGACAGGATCAACCTCCTATTCAGGATGTATAATGTCTACTTCCCCAAACAAGGGATTAAAGCTTATGGCCTTGGCAGTCCCAGAGGGAATGGCCCATGATCATGAATAATAGAAGCTTTGTCTGTACAACTCCACATATCCAGTGGCAAAGTGAACAATTCCGACTTCATACTGTTTCCAAATCTCCAGATGGTTAGTAGCCTGAATAGAGTGTGGCAGAGCCCAGGCTTTCGGTCATAAAAGCCTAGATTTGAATATTGACTCCGTCCCTCAAGCTGGTTTCTAAACCTCCGTGAACCTCAGTTTCCACTGCTGTATGATGGGAATAACAGCTGCTTTGTGAGATTATTGTAAGGATTACGTGAAATTACATGCAAAGTGCCTGGCATTCGGGAGGTGTCCAATAAATGCTATCCCATTTCCCCTCATCCCCACTCCGTGTGTAGTTGTGAGGGTCTGCACCTTTGCTTTTGTTTAAGCAGCATCTGACTTCTAGATGTGTGGCAGTGATTATGTTACAGGAAAGAGGAAGCATTGCGTCAGGCTGGGTATGATAAGGCAATGCTCTGACCCAGCAACAAGGCCAAGGTCATGCATGCTCTTCCATAGAAGACCTTCTGCATTTGAATCTTAAGTAATGTTACTGAGAAATCTTAAAGTAATAGTGAACAACTTGCCTAGGAGGTAGTTAAACCTCTTATATCCGGGGTTATACGGCAGTTAACCAATGTTAAGAGAAAAATCAATATGGCCTTATACTTCTAGAAAAGAGTTGTCTCATTCTTCTTGGTACTTGCAGTAATAACCCTGACAAGGCCCACGACGTGTTGACCGGGAGAGGAAGTAATGGGACTTCCTTGAATACGCAAATCAGAATGACTTACAGTCTTTCCGTTGATGGTTTATCTGAGCCTGCAGAAACGGCTGGAGTTTAAAAGAGGCAAACATTTCCCTTCCGTGCTATGGTGGAAGGAGAGTTAGAACTTGGGAGTCAGACACACCGGGGTTTGAATCCCAATTCTTTTAGTATTTGTTGAATAACCTGGGGCAAGTTATGGAACTGTCTAAGCCCCAAGATTTCTTTGGCTGTGATAATGGGATAATAGCAGCACTGGCTTCCCAGAGCTGTGACCACTGATTCTCGAACTCAAGTGCACATCAGAAAGCCCTTGAGGGTTTGCTAAACCACAGATCCTGGGCCCATCTCCTCGAGTTTTCTGATTCAGTATGTCTGGGGTGGGGCTGAGAATTTGCATTTTTAACAAATTTACATTTGTTAAATTTTGCTGCTGGCTCAAGGACCTCACTTTGAGAAGTGCCACTTGTTAAGAGTCAGTAGGATGAAACATACTCAGATTGTCATCAACTGTAGTGATGGTGGCAGTGACAGTGACGATGATAATTGGGTCATTGCACCCATTTCTCACGTGATTTTTTAAATTATTAGGTGTGGGCAGAAGAAAAAGCTGGTGATCAACAATGGCAATGGCACTATGGAGGAGAGAAAGCCCAGCGGACTCAACGGAGAAGCTAGCAAGTCTCAGGAGATGGTGCATTTGGTGAACAAGGAGTCGTCAGAGACCCCAGACCAGTTTATGACCGCAGATGAGAGGCGGAACCTGCAGAATGTGGACATGAAGATTGGGGTGTAACACCTACTCCATGACCTTGGAAAGAAACCATTGTCAGAGACATAATCTTTATAGGGAGCTGGGACACTTCACAGATGCAATGTGCTACTGATTGTTTCATTGGGGATCTTTTTTCAGCATAAAATTTTCTATTCCTTTTTGGGTTTTTTTGTGTGTGTGTTTTGTTTCTTAAAGGCAGTTCCAATTTATAAAAACAGCATTGCTTTCTGAAATGAGGGCCCAGTTAATCGTCGGCAAGAATTTGACTGTCCCAGTTCCCACCTAGAAGCCTTTCACCTCACCCTGGGGTGTGCTATGGACGGCTTCTAGCAAAAGCCACACATCCATCTTCCTGGTCTTCAACCTTCCCTCCACCCCACCGACCAGGGAACAGCCACCTGCTAAGGACATCCCCTAGGGCTAGGAGGGATTGGTCCCTGGGAGGAAATTTGAATGGGTCCATATTGCCCTTCCAGCAGCCCAATCCCTGGACATTTCTTTCCAGTGGGGTAGGGGAAGGGGATGCACTGGTCATACATCCCCTTCTACAGACCCCCTGGAAATTTTTCAGAAGCTTCTGGAAAATACCCAAACGTTGAAGCTATTTATCTGTCGTAAGATATTTATCTGTGTTTTTGAAATATGCAACCCTGGAGGTCCTTTGATCAGAGTGATTGTTTTGTTGTTGTTACTTTGTCAGAGGCATAAAAGCGTTTTTACCCTAATTCATAATAAACACCTGTACTTCGTCCACTGTAACCCTTTGTGCTGTGATCCTTCAGTTTCTTAACCAGCAAAGTCTGGGTCCCGACAGTTCATCAGGGAGACATGAGAAGGTCCTCCTTGCAGCTCTTCATCTCAGAGCTAAGCCCCCAGTCAGGCTCACTCACCCACATCTCACAGAGGATCAAGGGCGGTAGCATTGTCTTATTTCTGAGGCTCTGAAGGCATTCTGTCCTGTCTTAGAACCAGAATTGTGAGAGGAGGAGCTTCAGCTGCTCTTATGTATTAACGTCTCCCTAGTCTCTCCCCTGAAAGGCTGTAAAAAGTCACATCAAATTTGTATGACCCACCATTTGTGATGTCCCATGTCCTAGATGCTGACCCTGTTCGTGATGTCCAAAAACAATATGGAAGTGTCTTCTGACCTTTTGCAATAAAAGGAGAAACCAGTGGAAATCAGCAAGCCTAGACAGTACCCAACTGATCGACACAGGTTGGGAAAGTGGGGTAGGGAACAGTGCAGATCCTGTTGGAGGATTTTTATGGCTGTATTTGCTTATATTTTCCCAAGCCAAGTCTGTCCCCAACGCAGTTGCTACTCAGGGTTAAGTTAAGTGCCTGGAGAATCCCTCAAAAGGTTACAGGGCTTTTCCCACCATTGGAATCTTATCACCAGATAGGCAGCTTTATGGCCAAATAAGAGAATAATGGCTTTATCCCTTGCTTGGCAAGTCCTCTGTGGTCTTTATTTATAAATTGAGGAAGCTCCGTTGGTCCTGGAACTTCCAAAGGCTACTTGTAATAGAAGAAATTGAATCTGTAAAGTAAGCGTTCCTATAAAATGGGGCCCATAAAAAGTAATCTGTTTCCTAAATTGATCTGCTTAACCGGCAGTGTTTCTCCGCCCAAACGTGAAGAAGGAAGAGAAGAAAAAGGTCCCACGTAGGTCAGGGCTGGGCTTACACCGAGAATTGATTCTGAAGGATACACTTAAAGGAGAGAGGCCGGCCTTTTGCTCATTCTCAACCTCTGCTGTCCCCTCCCCACCCTCATACCCCCGCCCCCGCGCCCCCACCCCCACCCCGCTCATAACACCCTCCACATCATGGTCTTTGAAAATTTCCTTTCTCTTTTGTGGACGTCCTCGATCAGCTCCATATTCAGCTGTCCGGTGTTCTTTTTATTTTCAAGTTGAATGAAAAGAAAATGGATATCAAGCCATGCTGTTGTTACTAGTACATGCATGAACAATGAGTTAGTGTCCAAGTACCCCCGCTTTCCAAGAGCTGTCCTGGGTCTGAAACAGGCTCATGCAGGCTCTTTAACCTAAATGCAGCAAATCACAACAGGGTCAGGTTCAGGCAGGCCAGACCAGGCTCTACCTGTCCCCCAGATTCTCTCTGGGGTCCTGGATAGTCATAGAAGTCTCACAGCTAGGGATGGTTTTCCACCCCTTCTTGACATTCCCATCAAATAGGCTGAAATAGGAGATTGTTTTCTACTTAATTTTGGAATAAATATGATCTTTCCTTTTATTATTGTTGCCATCTCTCACTTGGATGTACCCCTGTGTTCTTAAGACAGGAAAAGGGGAGGTCTAAAGCATTCATCCTTGGATGCAATACCCCTGCAATATTGCCTGTGCTCATGCAATAGGATATATTCTATGCCACTTGAAATAAGGGCGTAACTCCAGAAGCACAAGTTCACTACACGTCATTCCTACCAGTGACTTGCCAGGTGGCCTGGGCTAGGTCATTAAACTGAGCCTTGTTTGTAAAAGAAAGGGGCCAGCATTTTATTATTTTGCAAAGCTTAAGAGAGCGAAGCTGAGAGCTTTGCAAACCTGAGGGCTTAAGGTGTAATTTTTCCTAGAACTGTAATTCTTTTGTGTCTCCTGAAGGCTTCCTTTAAATTAGCACCGGGTGAAAAATAAGATGAGGCAAAAGACAACTTCATATCCATATTTTGCAGATTCTAGCCTGGCAGAGTAGGTTTCTCTAGCAGAACCTCCCCAAAAGTTTTACATTGAGACCATTGACACGTAGAATAAATTTCATAGCCTACATTCATTCAATGCTGGTACCGCAGAGGAATAGGAGAAAGGAATCTCCGACTTCTCCAGAAGAGCAAAGTGTACTTAAGAATGATGTTCTCCTTTGTGTCATAGGTATGCCTTTTGTAAATCACCTGTATTGAATTTTCCAAGAATAACCCATTGTTCATGCATGTACAATGACCATTGTTTGATTTTTCACAGCACACCCTTCCTCTGATTTTTATATCTATTTTTAATGGACCAGTAATAATGAGGAAAGCATGATAGGTATATTGCCCAGTTGAAAGCACTTATTGGAACATACTAAAAGGCTACTATTGAAAGGGTAAAGGAAATGGACTCAGGAGTCTCTGATTTAAAGGGGTGGGAGGTCAGGGGTGGATTTGCAGAGCTGTGATTATCTGGTTGTCTGGGTAATTTAGACACGAAAGGCTTAAAGGCTTATGCGGTGGCTGAAGCTTCATACTCATTTTATTTTTTTCTAAGAAGAAAAATTACATGAATTTCTATCACTCGAGACTCTTCTTTTGGAGAAAGTGTATGGCCTACACATTTCAAATTAAAAGAGACACTGTGAAGTGTTAGTTCTTCAAAAGCCAAGAACTACCCCTGGCCTTCCAGTTAAAGAAAGGAGAGAGAACATACTTGCCTTCATTCCCTCATGCAAGCCTCTAAAAAGACAATAAAGCAATATTGCAAAAAGGCATAAACCAATGGGATGAAAGAGGGTGGAGGAAGAGACAATATCAACAAAAATAGGAAGCTGGAAAGTGAAGGTTCATTGATAACTGAGCAAATTTGGAAAAGCTGAACCCTAAGCCAGCAGTGGGGAAAGTTGAGAAGCAACCAGATTTGTGTAGCAGAACCCCCAAAGTCTTCTATGGTGGAGAAGGCAGGGCTCAAATTAGGGGAATGGGTTTAAATGCATGTATTTAAGATGCAGTCAGAGCCCCAGATCTTCTTTCCCACTCTAAGTAGCCTAATGACGGTTCTTTCCCAATCCCAGAAAAAGACTGGAAGACGATTCTCTAAAGAGGACAAATGAGAGAGTCTCTGACTGAGGGGCAACAAAGCATACACAGTTGACGTTAAAAGTATCATACTAAAAAAAAAAAAAAAAAAAAAAAAAAAAAAAAAGTATCATACTAAAAAGAGAAACCATACGTAAGGAATGTTGAGTCTCCCTAGATATTTTTTTCCCCGACTTGGCTCCCAGAATGCTGCCAGCCAAGCATATATGCTCCAAGCAAAAGCTCAGTCTTTCTGGGGAATCTGATAAACTTCAGAGCGAACCTGAAAGATACTAACAAGATAGTTTCCCAAGGAAATAACCCAGCAAAGCAATCTACAGTGCAGATCTCAAACCCTACCAGGTACACGGGGTTCTTAGCTTTCTGTGACTCCCTCTTACACATGATGAGCAGAGACAATGCATGGAGAAGAAAACTTTAAAATATATCATTAATAATCTCAATAAGAGAAGAGGAGATAATATCTATCTGTGAAAGAAGAACACGATGCTAGTGTAAAAAGGAACATTCAGTGAACACCCAAAAGAGGAAGCTCTTTAAAATTTAAGCATGAAAACACAAGCTAAAAAAAATAAACACAGCAGAAACTTTGCAAAATAAAGGTGAAGAAAAATCCCAGAAAACAGAGCAAAGACAAAGCAATGGAAACAGAAAAGATAAAAGGAGAGAAAATTCTAGGAAATCTAACACACAACTAATAGCAATTACAAAAAGAGAAAACAGAGAACATGAAGAAGAAATCATCTAAGAAATACATCAAGAAAATTCCCCAGAATTGAAGAACATGGATATTTAGACTAAAAAGACTGAATGCTTAGCACAATGGACAAAAACAGACCCACGCTAAGGCACATCAGCGTAAAAATTCATAACAGTCAAGGCCAAGAGATTGTCCTATAAGCTTCTGAGGAGGAAAGTTTATATCATAAAGAGGATCAAGGATCAGAATAGAATTAAACTTCTCAACAGCCACATTGAAAGAGCGAGGACAGTGAAAAAAGGGCCTTCAAAATTCTGAGAGAAATGTTTCCAAGCTAGAATTCTAATGTAGCTAAACCACAAATTAACTGTAAAGGTAGAGTGAAGACATTTCAGATATGCATTGTCTCCAAACCTATTCACCCATTCCCAGGCAACTCCTGAAGCATGTACTCCAGCAAAACAAGGGAGTTACCAAGAAAGGGGAAAACGTGAAATTCCGAAAGCAAAGTACAAGGAATTCCTAAAGTGATAATAAGGGGAGACCCTGAGATGACAGCTGTACAGCATATCTAGGGAACAATTAGTCCAAACTGGAGTACTGATTAATAAAGGAAACAATAAATGTCTTGGCTGCATTGAGCTCTAGTTAAAAAGAAGATT